GCCTGCCTTTTGCGTTATCCGAGTTTTGCACTACACCAGATCTAGATGATGTGATTAGACGTTTCCAGCATATGGTTACCTGCAGGCCCAGGCCAGGCCTGCAGTGATCTGCAGTATCAATGAAGTCGAAGACATCGCAGCTCTAACTGTTGCACTGGGGGGCCTTCGTGGCAGATAATGAGACAGGGCTTAAAGTCAACATGGAAACTTTTCAGATTTTAATACCCTAAAAGGGCATTCTTAATCACAAATGCTTGACCAAAATTAATTTGGAAAACGGAAAAAGCGTAAAACAGGCGACAAAAAAAATGACAGACGAAATCGTCCCCCAAATGAAACATTCCTCCACTGCGGGGAATCCCCTCACTGGTTATTAAAACGGGTTGCTGGTGTTTGGCATATTGCGCAATTTCAACGCTATTGATGATCGGGCCGACGCCCAGTCTACCTGCTTCTTGCTCGGATTTTGTGATACAAAAACGCCTAAAATAATCTAATTATCGATCTTTAATCGTTATCTTAGTTTTTCAGAAAGTCAAGATCGCGGGTCGTTTCACACATTCAACAATGTATGTAATGTTAGTATTTTGTAGGATTAACAGAAATAGCAGAAAAAGTATATGTATATACCAACAATCACAAGAAAAATACACGCTGCAAACGCAACAGCCAATGACAACAGTTGTCACCGCTGCGCCAGTAGATTTAGACGACGCTCAAAATAGGTTTGTTTTTGAAGTCGATTACGGAGCGTGTGCTTACATCACTTTCACTTTGACATTTAAATAAGTAATCATTTCTTTCACATGGCTTGCCCTTCAAGCAGTGTCTGATTGTGGGCAAACGTTTACGGAATTACACGGGTTGTTTTTGTAGTAGCATGACATTAATCAACATTGAACAACAAATATCCCGTTACACAATTTTTTTTTTTTTTATTTGACTGATTTTGACCAATATTCAAGCAATATCACGGCGGGACAGCATAAATAGGCTCGAACCGACGTGGAGAATAGAAACCGGATCTTCGGTGTGACGAGCTGTCGCTTTATCCACTGGACTACCCGACCTCCTTATATAATATGATATGCCTGCGAACGTCTGAGGTCACAATAGGTTTTGTAGAAAGAAACAGCCTCTTTCAGTCCTCACATGCAAATAGCATGTGCCATGAAGGAATATGCGTTGTTTTGTGGCACTCTGAAGCGTGGCCATTCCTTTTGCATATTATATTATAATCCAAGGAACGCTTCACGGAATATCATTTTATGCAAACATAAATGACATAATCTTCTTAAGAAATATATAGCTTGGACAGAAATATTGGTTTATATCTACGTTTTGCTGTTTAAGAGTTCGTAAAACTGATCACAGTCTACTCTATAACGACACACATCCTTTACCGTTAACAACCTCGTCAAACGTACCGCGACGGTACAGATCGTTCCTCATGCTATCAACCACTTGTTTGCCTGGCCCGGACTGGATGTGTGCTATCCAGCGAGACAATGTAGACATACTGCTGACAAGCGTGAAAAATGAATCACTCGTTATCTCTAAACAGGGTTCTGACAATAAACAAAAGTGAATGATGTTGCAACACTCATTTGCGGAGATATTGCTGCTTAAACAACAATCAAACAAAAAATCGTAACTAGCTTTAACTCGTAAGTTCTTAAATTCACGAGCAGCTTAGAAGGTCCATGTTCTCTTTTTGCTGGACGTTATCTTAACTCATCAAATACAACGCTCGAAAGAGATACAGGGTAGGCATGGATAAAGAAAACCTAGTTTTTCTCATGCGAGGCTTCGTCAGTACAAACTCCTTAAAGGGATTATACATTTTCTGCCGAGCGAGGTGAAATGCTTACTGTCGGTGTTTATTACATTTCGCCTGATCTTCCACAGAGCTCGCAACCATATTTTACGTGGTGATGATGGGTTTGGCACGTGAACTAATTGATGATCAAGTCGAGATGTTTGTAGTTGTCAGTCGATGTTTGTACTTGTCAGGGAGGGTATTTCTATTCAAACATCACTCTGCACTGAAGCACCCCACTGACTGCTCCTGGCCCTGGAGCTATCCACTATCTGATCCCAGATAATCAACCAGGCTTACACAACAAGCACTATATAGTAACGGCTACACCCTTATACCAGCATATTATTAATAAACAAATAGCTTATATACAGAAATGTTATGAAGACAAGTGTATGGAATTTACAAAACGTTTACGATTAATTGTTCTTTGGCTCCCTATTGCTGTATTATAATTACATGTATGGTTTTTTTTGTGGACGGGAATATCTTTCTTCTGAAATTAGATCAGGGCCCACTTGCACAAAGCGATCTCAGCGCTAAGATGATCTTAACTCCCTTACTTTAACATAGGGTTACAATAGTCGTAGCGTTAAGGTCGTTTTGTGCAAGTGGGCCCTGGCCTTGTTAGTTACGGAAGTGACAATCACCACCACCAATAACTAAAGCTTGACTCGTCTATTGGTATGTTTAGCGTCTTAGAGTCGATCTAATATTATGTTATTGTTTGATATTCACGATTTGGAATTAGATTGGGTTCAGGCCACAAGACAAAACCATAAACAACAAGGCGTTTATCGGCAACCTGTCCCACAAAACATCCTCAATTTGTTCCTGTTCCGACAGTTCGGAAAAGAAGAGAAATCACTGATCAGGCAGTAAATGGGCCTTGTGGCAAATGAGGGTGGTTGTCATGAAGGCTTTAAACTTGCACTTAAATCACTGATCAGGCAGTAAATGGGCATTACGGCGAATGAGGGTGGTTGTTAGAAGGCTTTAAACTTGCACTTAAATCGCTGATCAGGGAGTAAATGGGCATTGCGGCGAATGAGGGTGGTTGTCATGAAGGCTTTAAACTTGCACTTAAATCTCTGATCAGGCAGTAAATGGGCATTGCGGCGAATGAGGGTGGTTATCATGAAGGCTTTAAACTTGCACTTAAATCACTGATCAGGGAGTAAATGGGCATTGCGGCGAATGAGGGTGGTTGTCATGAAGGCTTTAAACTTGCACTTAAATCTCTGATCAGGCAGTAAATGGGCATTGCGGCGAATGAGGGTGGTTGTCATGAAGGCTTTAAACCTGCACTTAAATCACTGATCAGGCAGTAAATGGGCATTACGGCGAATGAGGGTGGTTGTCATGAAGGCTTTAAACTTGCACTTAAATCACTGATCAGGGAGTAAATGGGCATTGCGGCGAATGAGGGTGGTTGTCATGAAGGCTTTAAACCTGCACTTAAATCGCTGATCAGGCAGTAAATGGGCATTACGGCGAATGAGGGTGGTTGTCATGAAGGCTTTAAACCTGCACTTAAATCACTGATCAGGCAGTAAATGGGCATTACGGCGAATGAGGGTGGTTGTCATGAAGGCTTTAAACCTGCACTTAAATCACTGATCAGGCAGTAAATGGGCATTGCGGCGAATGAGGGTGGTTATCATGAAGGCTTTAAACTTGCACTTAAATCACTGATCAGGCAGTAAATGGGCATTACGGCGAATGAGGGTGGTTGTCATGAAGGCTTTAAACCTGCACTTAAATCACTGATCAGGGAGTAAATGGGCATTGCGGCGAATGAGGGTGGTTATCATGAAGGCTTTAAACTTGCACTTAAATCACTGATCAGGGAGTAAATGGGCATTGCGGCGAATGAGGGTGGTTATCATGAAGGCTTTAAACTTGCACTTAAATCTCTGATCAGGCAGTAAATGGGCATTGCGGCGAATGAGGGTGGTTGTCTTGAAGGCTTTAAACCTGCACTTAAATCGCTGATCAGGCAGTAAATGGGCATTGCGGCGAATGAGGGTGGTTGTCATGAAGGCTTTAAACCTGCACTTAAATCACTGATCAGGCAGTAAATGGGCATTACGGCGAATGAGGGTGGTTGTCATGAAGGCTTTAAACCTGCACTTAAATCACTGATCAGGCAGTGAAGGCATTGCGGCGAATGAGGGTGGTTGTCATGAAGGCTTTAAACTTGCACTTAAATCACTGATCAGGCAGTATATGGGCATTACGGCGAATGAGGGTGGTTGTCATGAAGGCTTTAAACTTGCACTTAAATCACTGATCAGGCAGTAAATGGGCATTACGGCGAATGAGGATTGTAGTCATGAAGGCTTTAAACTTGCACTTAAATCACTGATCAGGCAGTATATGGGCATTACGGCGAATGAGGGTGGTTATCATGAAGGCTTTAAACTTGCACTTAAATCACTGATCAGGCAGTAAATGGGCATTACGGCGAATGAGGATTGTAGTCATGAAGGCTTTAAACTTGCACTTAAATCACTGATCAGGCAGTAAATGGGCATTACGGCGAATGAGGGTGGTTGTCATGAAGGCTTTAAACTTGCACTTAAATCTCTGATCAGGCAGTAAATGGGCATTACGGCGAATGAGGGTGGTTGTGATGAAGGCTTTAAACTTGCACTTAAATCACTCAGATGTAACGATTGGTTGTAAGGCAGGGCGGGACAACTTAGGAATGGCCAGGAGTCCGAACTTGACCACACAGAAGGAAGCGAGCTACAAAAACATGTTTTATATCACTGGAAAGCTCTCGAGGAGACGAATCCAAATAATGTGTGTCCCAGTGTGTTCACGTGTTCATAAGCTCAAAAATTGGCTCAGAAAATGCATTACTGCAGAAATTTCTGGCCGAATTTTTTTTTTCTGCAGAAATTTCTGGCAGTATTTTTTTTTTCTACAGAAATTTCTGGCCGAAATTTTTTTTTCTACAGAAATTTCTGGCCGAAATTTTTTTTTCTACAGAAATTTCTGGCCGAATTTTTTTCTGCAGTAATATTTAGCAGAATTATTTTAATTCAGGAGAAATAAGATTCAATCATTGGATAGTTTAACCTGGAGTTGCTTCAAATGACCTTCTCCTCAAAACAAACATTTTTAGTTATTTGTTAGTGATTATAAGCAATAAAATAAAACTAATTTCGTGAGATATTTCAAAAAATTGTTTATTCACATGCTATATTACAAGACAATTTCTTGGGAGACTTTGCACTTTCATTCTCATGAATGAGTCGTATTTTCTTGGGTGAGGTGATTTTTTCAGAGATGGGTCCTGTCACAAAAGAAAATAGATGTATAGATGAGTGGATCCATATTGTCTAATATAATGGATAATGGCAGCCTATACGCAGCTAGAGTTTAACTTTACAATAGAGCCTGCGGAATAAAATGTATTATGAATGTAAATAGTGTGCTTTACTTACGTTTTCTTCTCAACATACTTGAAATGAATTCCTTTTTTCGTCTGGTCATTGAAAGCTATGTGCACATATTCTGAAAAGATATGAAAAAAAACATTAAAATGCTTTTCATTTCAGTAATTAACACATTCCACAAGCTTTAGGCACATGAACAAAGTAAGATAAGTGAGGTGAGTTGAAATTGGGTTGAATGTCGCGTCCAAGATAATTGCACTTATATAGCATGTGCGTGCGTGCGTGTGAGTGTGTGTGTGAGTGCGTGCTTGTACTAGTCGTCTGCATCTTCCGTTTTGTATAGGTCACTCCATCAGTTGTCAGTGACTGCATACTTGTGTAGGGGGCACTCAATGTTCACACTGTCATGAAGCTGAAATTATATAAGGATGAGTATACTGCGAAAATTAAGTTGGATTAATTCGTTAAAAGAGACTTATGTATCATGTTTGGGAGAGGCATTCAGATAAGCAAAATTTGCTTGTTTGCCAATCCCCCCACTTTATGGAAATAAATATGTTTATATCAAGAGACTTCTAAACCATAACCGAACTCAAAACTAACCCCATGTGTCGTAAATGGGTGCTCTAAAGTAAAAGGATGGTTAACACGTGTTTCATTGGCAAGGGGTACTCAACCCTTATGATCGGAAAGGGGGTCCAAGGACAAAGGAGAGACCAGACCTACTATCCAGAGGGGCCAGCCTGGTACAAGACTTAGTGTAAAGCTAGCCTAGTCTATGTCATCAGCAGCTGGTCACTGCGGCGGAATGTGGTTTTGGCGTTGCTGTTCAAGTTCGAATTTCCGATAGGCCTGTCTCCACTAAAAAAAATAGATAAATTTTCGGACAGCATAATCTGGTGTCAGATCTTAAAAAAGTTCCGAACGACTGTGAAACCATGGTAAGAAGTATTATTATTATTGAAGCAACCTTCCCAAATGTGTGTGCTGCATAAGCCGGAGTGGTTCCCCTTGAATTTCCAAAATATGAATCGACAGACGAAACGACAATTAGTTCGCTTGACATATCCAGTTGGGGGTTATTCTTTTTTAGTTTGGTGGGAAAATGATATGAAACACTGGGGTCTGACTGACTGATGTAGGAGATTTAACGTGCGCTTTCCGACTGTAGCGTATTTCGCATACGGGCCTGGCCGGACCATTTATTGTATTCCGAAAAGGGTGAAAGTGATGTGTGCAACCCAAGAGGGGGCTTTTAGGGGTTGCTTATATTGAAGTTTCTGGAATTTTTAAATTTGGAATAAATGCCGAGGTGGGTGGAGGAGGGAACTAAGGGAGCCGGGTGAGGTGGGTGTTTGTATGTTTATTGGATTTTGGATTGGTAGATTAATTAGTTTTTAGATGCGCTTAATTAGGTCTGTTTTGATTAGGAATACGCCTAGGGCCTTGAAGTTTTCTAGTTTATTTTGAGGGTTCAGTATTTCATCTAGAGTAGGAACCTTATTTAGATTGAGGGTGGTTTGTAGTGTGGTTCTGTGTGTTTGGTAGTGGGTGCAGTGGATGAGTGCGTGTTCCGTGGTTTCGGGTTGTTTGCAGTGGGGGCAGTTGCCAGTGATGTGTCTTTTAAGTTTTTTTAGGTGGTTATTTAGGTTCGTGTGTCCTGTTTCGAGTTTTGTAATAAATCTGTCAATTTTTTTAGAGAGGTGTAGGATTTCAGGTTTGGCTAGTGGTTTTCTGAGCACTTTTTTGATTTGGCTATTTGAGTTTTGATATTGATTATGCCATTTTTTGGTTATTTTTTGTTTGTTTACACTTTTAATTTCTGATTTTGAGATGGGTAGGTTTAGGCTTATTACTGGTATTTTGAGAGATAATGTAGCTGCTTTATCGGCGCTTTCGTTGCCGTAAATTCCTACGTGGGCGGGGATCCACAAGAAGGTTATTTGTTTGCCTGCTTTTTTTAGGTCGTCGGAGCTTTTAAGTATTTGGTTTATTAATTTAGGTCGTTTTTTGGTATTTTTGTTTTGGAGGGCTTTTAGTCCACTAAGAGAGTCGGTGAGAGTTAGGATTTTATTGTTGTTTTTAGATTGGGGCTGCCCAAGTACTAAATATATCATACAATTATTGAAATACCCGTATACATTGTGATTGTCGAGTGACCCTGTGAACAACCAACACCCTCCTTTTACCCCCCCCCCCCCCCCCCCCCCCCCCCCAAGTAGCACGCTTAAGACTGTTTAATTGACAGCTGTTAATTGGTAACGGTCAAGCCTCAGTGAATTTGCATTGGGAGTGAGTGTGAGGGGGCGTCTGAAATAAAGGTGGATTCAGTCGGAATAAAGATAAGATAATGATCTCATAAATTTTATTGAAGGCTTTGAAAGTTTAGGATCGGCGAGACCGTAACACAGAGTAATTAACAAAACGATCACGTGATCGTGGCGCTGATAGACAATACCAACCGACCACGTGCGCGAGACAATGTATCACCGTATGAAGTGACAATACCCGAGGATATTTAATTGCCAAGTTGGCAGGAAGTCTGGCGGCACGGCACGTAAAAATAAGCGTCGTTTGGGTATTCTAAATTGTCTGAGCACCAGCTTTGATGGGGCAATAAGAGAAGATGATATATATGTTTATTTTAGGAAAACATTAATACAACAATTTGTTATATTAATAAACATTGGGTCTATAAAGTTATTTATATCTAAATATTTCTAACGTTATAAATAATAGAAAACTCGCATGTAAATTATCAAAATACTGCATGGATTGGTATTTTGTAATTTTCCGTGTTTTCACTTTCACTGATCACCACAGGCAAATTCATGGTAACATAGCTACACTACAAGTGTCGCCATACAGCTACAATAAGTTGCCTAATGTACATGTAGACAGTATACAAGTCGCAATAACACCATAGGGGATGGAGATATCTCCTTTTCAGATTAGATTGTTTGCGTATTTTTTTTATCAAAAGTGGTAGAAATAAATACACTAAAATTAGACTCTTACAAAACGCGTTTCGCATGGCAGCAGAGCCAAACATTCACTGTTTGGAGTACAGGTTGTTATTTGGTTGTTGTTATATGAAATAACCGTGTTACCAAAATTCCACGTTCTAGGGTCGGCGTTTCCAGAAATAAAACAATAAATATTTTGACGTTTACCTGTATCGTAACTGCAAGACGGTAACCAGACCCTGTAACTCTGCTGACTGCACGTGGTTCGGGATCTTTGCTGTGGCTGAAATAAAGAGTGCTATGTTTTACAGAAAAAGACCACGTTGCTTGTGCCATTGTGCAAAGACATTGTGCGTAGGTAAGATTCTGAATATACACGAATATATACAAGTCACGTGACAAAGAAGGTATTTACATGAAAGATATTTCAAATCTCGATGTTAGAGACCTTGAGAAATGTAGATTTAACTGAATCCAATCCGATTTAGTGTTACTATCATTCATTACAAATGGATAATACGATATTGCATTATAGAGAGGGTAATTATAGCTACCTGAAGGAGCAACCATATGTCCACTCTTTGAAGTTGCCGCCAAACCGGACGCGTTATTGTAACTTGCAAGAACACTGTGTACACAGCTTCTTTCTAAATTTGGAGAAGCGTAAGTGTGGTGAAAGAACAATATGAATGTAAGTCAGGCATGAAGTTGCACGGAGGAACCAACGTGAGACTTTATAATCACATGGTTGTTCATATATGTTGTTTAATGCGTGATAGGTATTACCGCTTAAAAGGTGGTTTTGTATTTATAATAAAAACTGATCGTTTACATTTAACATAGAATATAAAAATAGTTTTGTCTGGGTAGCAACATAACTGTTGCATAGGGTATGTTGTTTAATGATAATACTATATGAAAATTCCTCGAGCCAGCTGACTTACACTATGGATAGTGTACAAGACAACAGTTATAGAACATCACGTGATAAGGTTGATGGAAATGGCAAAATATTTATTTACAATATATGTGTTTCCAGGGGAAGAGCCTGTTACAAAGTCTGTGTCTAAAAAAAAGTAAACTCGCTCCTTGTCGGACAAAACTGAATGTAATTAAGTTAACTACCTATGTACATTATCAGTGGAGTACTTGAATTAATATCAAATTGTAACCCGAGATGCTGGTGCCACACCTTATTACGTGACCACCCAGTGAGGCGTGAACACTCAGGGGCATGATATACACCCTTGTGTTTGATTTGATATACCAATCAGCCGTGGACGCCCGACCATAAAAATGGTATATATAGATTTAACCCTAATCAGGTATCGTTAAATATCGTTAAATCGTCGAGAAAGTTCTGTCAGACGATCAAACGATAACTATTCAACAAGTCGGTAAATCACATCGAAAACCCAAGTTCTGGTCGCAGTGAGAAGCTCTGGATGCCTTGAGGAGGGTTCACCAGCTCTGCTTCAACAACGTTGACATGGGTAAGGCATTTTATTCTATTTTTGTACACCAAACACTGTATATATCTTGAAGAACCTTTGCCTTCTGTTTGGATCATGGTTTCTTTATGAACATATTCACTGAACATGTTGCTACCCTATTACAGATCTTATCAACAGAAAAGGCAGACATCTTTCTTCAAGAAATCTGCCCAAAAGGAAAAACACTGAAATTGGTAAGTAATGCTTATGTGCAATGTCGTTAACTATAGTTCATTTATTGCATCGGCACTATTAGGTAGAGTTGAGCTACGAACGCGAAAATAAACTGGTACGGCGAATGTAGGGGTGAGGTACTCAATCGGCTTCGTTGCGCTGGTTTTTTTTACCACCACCGACTGTGTTGCCAATTTAAATTTCGTTTCGGAATCAAAGCACGGTGCGTTTTTTTTTATCAAAATGTCAACATGAGCTAGGAAAGGAAGAGCGGAAGAGCCAGGGCTCTGCGAACATACGCGGATTGTGTAGCCTTTATATATATATGGCTTCGCGTGGCATTATATTGGTGTTACATACGTAGTATACCAGGTAAGTGTTGCCCTCGTTGCCCACAGGGCCATGACTTAATTAGGGTGCGAGTTGGTGGGTGGCTCGGTCTACTC